TAATTTTCGAGATCCTAAATGAAAATTGTTTTATTTTTAAATTTATATTTATTTAATTTATAGTAAAAACTTAAAAAAAAACATATCTCGTTCAAAATTATGAAAAAATATACATTAAAAAAATCTACTATTCATTTTTTTTTACTTTTTATATTAAAAAATTGGGTGCCCCAAAAGAAGTCTAAATGTGTGAATATATTAAGATGTCCCCCAAGTGAAAATGATTATTTTTTATTTTTGGTTGTTTCACTGTTGGTCTAGAATGGGGTTTTTGGGAAGCCACCAGGTCTAGTAATAACATAACATAAGTGGTTCTGCACTAATGCAAGAATTTTAAGAAATCATATATTTTAAATATTAGAGAATCACGGAAGATAGCTTCAAGGAGGTTAGTTGTATATTTGAAATAAATTATTGTATCTTTTGACACCTTAATATTTTTTAAAAATACATAAAATATTTATAAAAAAAATCTACTTACAAAGAAATTACAATTCACGGTGGATAGGTTTTTAAATAGCAAATTAAAGAACTTAAACTTTTGAATTATAAAACAGCAACACTCTCATCTGCATATAAATACTAACTGACCTTCAGGAATAACATGTATCTATAATGTCGTAAACAGAGGTTTTTGCTTATTTAAAATGAATAAAGCGCCATCCGTTGAAATTTAAAGCAAAAATAGATTCACGAAGAATAGAATCAATTTTTGTAACACCTACATAAATGGTTATAAAAATTATTTCTTTTAGTTTTCAATAATATTTTATATTTGATTCGATTGCTTTGGATGTGTTTAATTGACGTATTGAACTGATATTTTTAGTATGCTTTTACAACCTCAGATATTTGAAAACATATAGGTTAACCTAGAAAGAGTAACAGTCACGGAGGATAGGTTTTAGACTTGTAAAACATTGTAAAAAATAATTAATTTCAGTTAAAAATGTGGAACCTGAGCTGTAATATCTACTTAATTATGAAAGATCAAAACACAATAAAAGTGTAGGTCAATCTCATTTAGTTTTATTAAATATCATGGGGTAACACCATCGGGGGACATTTCAAAAATATTTTGTATCTACAAAAAGGTATGTTTTTTTCGTAAACCTATCCATTCAAAAGATATATTGAGTTTAAAAAGTTTTGAAAAAAAATGCTTGCAGAACAGTAAGAATTTTAAACTATAGTTAATATAATTAACTGATCTAAAAAAAAGTTTTCTTTTGTTTTTCGATGAATGTAAGCGTTTTAAAGATAATCGCGCACGCGGAATAATAATAAGTTTTGTTTAATATAATTAATTCATTGTTATAAATGTTGTTATGTTAATGTCTCATCCAAGTATACCGAAATACTTACCGAAATTTTTTTGACAAAAATGTGAAAATAATTAAAAATCCTATTTTAATTAAAAAATATATTTATTTAATTTAGGATATTTAAAACTAATATTTTTTACAGGAGTTATTAAAAAAAGGTTAAAGTAATTTGGGTTTAGTTATGATTATATTTAAAAGCTTACATTTTTTTATCAAAAACCTAAAGAAACTTTTTTGTAGATCGGATAATTTTCAACAAAAATATGTACTACTTATTCGAAAATACTAACTAATTTTTATGTTATGAAATTTATAAAAATGTATTTTTTTTTTATTTTTAAATTTTTAAAGATATCCTTTGAATGGCCCAAAATGTCAATCAAAATGTTTATTGTGCTTTGCTTTACATTCATTTTTTAGTGAGATAAATAGAAAACTTTTTTATTGACTAATGTAGAAGTTGCGATGAGGAGGATTTTACTATTAATTAAGATATCAGAAGTATAAAAAATAATAGGGGATAGTACACGCCAAAACAAGAAAGTTTTCCTCTATTATGTTTCCATTAGAACTACTGTTTTTTAATAAAAAAATTATGAAATTTTTTTGACAAAACCAGGAAGCCTATATTTCATCATTGTTTTTAAAGGATGGCAACTTATTTGGTGACACCCTGTATTGTAACAAAAAAAGCGAGTGTAACATATTTTTAAGAAAGACAGAAAAAACAGCAATTGCCAATTTGTTTCTTAAAAATTTGCTTACTTAACTTGTTGATGGGCATATTTATAACATAATTACAACGATTATAATGGTAAGATGACACTTCCCTTTATTACTTATTTTATTCCGTGAAGTTTACACATTAACCACGAAACTAAATAGTTTCGTAAACTATAATAATAATACTTGATAATTTGTAGAGAAAGTTTCGAATTTATTACAATAACCATGCAAATTAGCTGTTCATTAGTAAACTGTTACAACTACTTGGCAAATTCATAAAACCAGTATTTATATACATGTGAATAGACTAGACCTATACAGGGTGTCCGCAAATAACGTTATTATATTTCAGGGGGTAATTCTACACGTTAAAATAAGGGAAAATGTGGCTATAAACGAAAATGCCCCCCTGTTTTGCAAAATAAGTTTTTTTATTAAGGATTCAATACACATTATTTTTTAATGAAAATTAAGTGCTCATTACATTTTTTCCAATGAGTAATGTATTTATTTTTACATTACTCATTTTAACTTTGTAATAAGTATTTTTAAATTTTCAATTAATTTTTTTTTATGTTAATGAGTAACGTACTCTATTAATTTTTTTTATTTTTAATGAGAAATGAATGTATATCGAATTACTCATTTTTAGTGGGCAAGGAAGATATTTTTATTGCATGACACATTTTTTCAATTTTTGTTTTGAATTTAATTTTTACCAGTAACAGACGTTCAAAATTAATTATTCGTTCATACCCTAGCGGATTCAATACTTTTTTGAGTTTAGATCACCTTCTTCCCTAATTATCATAATCCCACTATTAACCCCGGCTTATTTCTTGAGTGGATAGAAGTTAAACGTGAAAAAATTGCAAGGAAATCGAAGGATACAAACAGTTTAAAAATTAAAATTTTAAAAACTCAAAAATCGCATCCAAATATGCTTTGGATAATTTGGATATACGAAAATTTTAAGAAATTAAAATTTCAATTTGGTTCATTATTAAACAAATTAGCATCAAAAACCAAAAAACCGTGATTGGTTTGAAGGTTTGATAACTTTTGAACGAGTAATCAAAAAATCATCAAACTTTACCAGAAACGGATTTTTAATGGGTACTTAAAAAATATCGTAAAATAAAAGAAATCGAAAATCAGCATTTTTTAAACTCTCAGACTTGGTATAATATGCCATATAAAAAATAACCCCATCAGGTAATGCCTTTCGTTTCACATTTTTTTAATGTGTAATGTACGATCTTTTATTACAAATTTGTTTATTTTTATGAAAATATTTCTCATTAATTTTTTTTAATAATAACTACATTACCATAAAAAAAATAAAGATTACATTATTTTTTACATTAACATTTTTGCAACTCTGATCACCCCCCAAAAAATATTAACCTTAGTAAAATCTGAAATGAAATTTTTAAAGAAAGATATATAAGAAAAATATAAGTATAGCTACACTGGGGTGCTTTAAAAAAAATGGATTTTTTTTTTCGCTCTTCCCGAGAAGTCTCAAATGTTAATATAAAAAAAATCCTCACCAAATATGGGCGTTCCAGCTAAACTCTAAGAGGTCGCTGTTTTTATTTTAGTTTCCCATTTAATTAACATGGGAAAAAATAATTTTATGTTTGGAATTTTATACCTCTGTATCAAAGTAACTTATGACAATGATCATTGCAGTTTTTTATATAAAATATAGCTCTACAAAGAAGGTCTCTTATTATTTTTCGGCCCATATTTGGTGAGGATTTTTTTAATTTTAAAATTTAAATAGAAACATTTGAAAGGGTAAGAGCGAAAAAAATTAATTTTTTTATGCACCCTAGGCTACACATTTTTACAAAATTAATACCAACTCTCTATAACAGAAATCAGACCATACCTATCTGAATGTTTTTAATTCCCTGAATTCCAAGATCATAATTGAGGAGCATCCGTGCAAAACCGGCTAAATCCATTTTATTCAGTTTTTGTTTTTTTTGATTTCGCATCTTTGGGTTCATTTCTATCGACAACCAAGATAATTCTGTTTAAATCCGACTATATCCATGTTAAAATCACATTTAAAAGGTAGCTTTAGGAGCAAAACCGGCCAAATCCACGTTTTTACAGCAAACCCGGCTATATCCCATAAATAATAATGATGATGAGCATATGGCTTGGATATGTCGATACTACTACTAAAATTTGTTCTGTTTTTTCATGTTTGCACTAAATAAAGGTTTTTTTCACATTTTATTCGGTTTTTGAGCAAAACCGGGTTTTGTACAAAACATTTTTTGAAATTTTGGCCTTAATATAAAGTTTTTGAAAACGAAAGTATGTCTTATAAATCAAGTACCACAAAGCCCACAAAACTTAAGTTTGCTTTTTCTTTTATCTGCAAAGGCCAGGAAACCGAGAGTTTTTGCCATTTTCCCAACATTTTATTAAAGTGGATATAGCCGGTTTTGTACGGATGCTCCTCAATTACTCCGTCACATCAAGTTTTTGAGAAGTTCTAGCTTAAAAGCTTGTTAACCCATTTTTGGTTAATTTTAATAATAATAATAATAATAATAATAATAACACAAGATTACTGTTTATAAGTTAACTTTTAGACCCGAACAGGTTATACTTTACTCCTAAAGTAGAATTCCGATTAAGCATATCAAAAACATTTAAAAAAATCTGGTTTCTTTAAAGAACCTTGTATTTTATTTTTTGAATGTTTATAAATATTGTATTTATATTTGCAACATGTTTATTCACCATTAGACATTTTGTTTTTTAAATTAGTGTGACCTTATTTTAGAAGAATCGTATTTTGAACCTTGTTCTGAATAAATGATGTAATCCAGAAACAATATCCTGCGAAGAAAGAAAACAACACATAATACATAGGGGTAGGTAGTGGCAATGCAATGGGGTCAGAATATAGCACACAAAACTTACGTATTAGCTGCAGCAGCACGCTGGCCTCCTTCGGCTCGGTGAGCTTGGTATTGACCGCCTGGCACGTGAACAGGCAGTCGAGGTCTTTCCGCGAAATGGACGGCCAAACTAATCTGTTCTCGATGACATCGCCTGCATTGTGCTCGTACTGATCGTCGACGAGCAGGCCATTGACGAGCCAGCGGACAACGGGCTGAGGATGTCCGCCCACCGTTCTACAGGTGAGGGTGATGTCGTCGCCCGCCTCGTGCGGGCCCACCGAATTGTTCAGCTGTCGGCCCCACTTGTCCAGGATGGTGGGCTGTTCCGGCGGCACTGTCGACAAAATCACACCGTTAATTGACCGTTAACGTGATCTGTTTAATTCAATTCGGTCGAACGGACCCGATTCGACAACTGCTCCGCTGTTTGTTGCCGTGTTTCGAGCGGCATTTAATACTTGAGTACCTGTTCTGGCTAAAGCTAATATCCACAGGTTATTGTTGTTTGATTATAATCAGAGCTGGAAGTATCTCGAAAAAAGAGATACTTGAAAGTAACTTAGATACGTTTTATATTGGACAGCAAATATCTTGTAACTTGTATCTAAAAAAGTATCTAAGTTACTCGGTAAAGTACATTGTTTCAAATATCTGTGGTGTAAAGAGTAATCTTAAAATGGTTTCAAAATCCAACACCAAGTGGTGGTAATATAAACACCATGAATTATGGTTGAAAATGTTATATACAGCAAACACCAAAACGTTGTTTATCTAAAAATATTCGAGAAGTGCACCTACACAGAAAAAAAGGAATAGTTCATTTAAATAAACTGCACACCACTCAATGTGTTGCGACCAAAAAGTTCGTTCTTTTTCAAAACGACATAACTTTGTTGTTTTTTAAACGATTTTATTTTGGTTTGTGATGTCTGCTAGCCAGCGCCGAATTTGGGGGGGGTCTTTGGGGGTCTATAGACCCGGGGCGCAAGCTTACAGGGGGCGCAAAATTTTTGACTGGTAATTTTTGTTTTTTACTACAACCCAAAGGGTTTTTCCCTTTTTTATTTTTCGTGTATTAATCAGTTTTAATAAAAAAATTATTTAAATTATAACCGTGATTGTTGCCATAGTATTATTATCTATGCATAGTATACGAAATATGTCATGTCACGTATTACGTAGGGCGCCCGACAAGTTGTTGGGCGACAAGAACTTTAGTTTGCAGAAATTGATTATTTCCACCGATGCATTCATTATTTCCACCGATGCATCGCGATGCGATGCGTATGGGCGTAAAGGTTTTTTAATATAAGAATATTTTATTACACTACGAACAACTATTAATTTAAATTGGTTTAAAACTATAGTAATATACAGTACCAGTCATATATATATGTATGTATATATACAGTATAGGTATTAGCCTATTGAAAGATGACGTCAATATTGCGATAAACAAATTTGCTTCTCTAAAAGCACGCAAAGTTAAGTTGACAAAATGTTAATTTTCTTATTTAGGTATTTGTTTTTTATATAGTTTTTGTTTATGTTTTTAGGGTGGCAATATTTTTTCGACATTTTTTTTATTTCGGAGCTCACATGAAACAATTTAAGTTTAAAGTATTCAAGTTTCAACTCAAAAAAAAATAAATTTCGCTCAAAAAAATTAACTAAATTGGAAAAATAGTAGTGGTTACAAGATCAAAATTATTAAAAAAATCAAGAAATGTATTTAAAAAATATTGAGCGACCAATAATATTTTTACTTAAAAATGTATTCTGTTCCTATACGACCTACAAAAAAAATAGTGAGAAGCCAAAGATTTTGAGAAAAAAGGTTGGTTTAAAAAAGTTTTGAGCTACGTCTAAAATTTTTTTATCTGTTGAAACTCAAATAGTTTAGACTTATTTTGTTTATTTGATCTCCAAAATAAAAAAAAAATCGAAAAAATACTACAACCCTAATGTTTATGGTTAAATAAAATCCTTTTGTTAAGAAGTGACATTTCTTTGAATTTATTATATAGGTAGGGGCGGAAAATTTTTATTAGACCCGGGGCGCAAATTTTTATAATCCGGCGCTGCTGCTAGCCTCATCCTTTGGCAATTTAGGCTATAGATATGAAGCTCACGGTTCTTCAAGAAAATTTCCTACAGAGTGATATGTTAAACGGTGAAAAATTTCAATAATTTCATCCAAGCCCCGTTTGTAAAAAAATATTTTTTTTTTCGTTTTTACTTTGAAATAATGAAGTATTATGTCTTACCTTCATGTTTCAAATTTTTCGAATTGGAATCTTAGCAATGAAAATATGATTTTTTTTCAAAAGAGTACATTTAAAGGTTTTTTGAAGGCAATAAACTCAGTTTTTTTAGGAATAAGAAGATGAGATGGTGGAAGATTGTTTCTAAAATAATTCTGAACAAGCGACAAGCAACAAACTTTCATTATTTTCAGAGGGGCCTAAGCAAAGAACACTTTTTCAAAATAACATTTTGGTAAAAATTTGCGAAAACTAAATATTTAGGTTCGTGACATGTTTTCTTCATAATTTTGACCTCCTGATTGTGATTCAGTTGTCAAATTTAGGTTTCAGATAAAACTAAATTTACCAAGAATCAAGATTCGAAAACAATTCCCGGCTGTTAAATGTCTCAATAAAATACGATTGCTGGTTTTTACTGTTTTTTACTGTGTTTTGCATCTTTAGTACATTATTATCATGTTGCTGAATGATCAAATCGAGGATCAAATGATGAAAATTAGTTCTTGAAAAACATTCAAAACGCATTATGAGAGATATCTTGATTTTTTCAGTTTGCTTGTGTTTTTCCAAATTTCGAAGTTTTTTGCATACCCCTATCTTACCCTTACATTTTTCTGTTGAATATTGTAGTTTTGATTATGATTATAACTTCGCATAAAATTTTAAAAAATTAACAAAAATATTTTTATTTAACTTTATTAACAATTACTACCAAATTGTTCAGCTGTCGGCCCCACTTGTCCAGGATGGTGGGCTGTTCCGGCGGCACTGTCGACAAAATCACACCGTTAATTGACCGTTAACGTGATCTGTTTAATTCAATTCGGTCGAACGGACCCGATTCAACAACTGCTCCGCTGTTTGTTGCCCTATTTCGAGCGGCATTTAATACTTGAGTACCTGTTCTGGCTAAAGCTAATATCCACAGGTTATTGTTGTTTGATTATAATCAGAGCTGGAAGTATCTTGAAAAAAGAGATACTTGAAAGTAACTTAGATTGTTTTTATATTGGACAAAAAATATCTTTAACTAAGTTACTTTGGAAAAGTATCTTGTAACTTGTATCTAAAAAAGTATCTAAGTTACTCGGTAAAGTACACTGTTTCAAATATCTGTGGTGTAAAGAGTAATCTTAACCCGTAACCGATACTGTGGTGTCTGGGTCCCAGACTCTGGGAGACACTCATCAACGAACAAAGCCCTGTCCCACCCTCACCTTTTGTTTAAAAATCTGTATCTTCCAATACTTTTAAGTTAAGCAGTTATCAATATGCTCTCAGACTTTGAACAAGTTGGATTGTCAAACGGACAAATTATTACAAGTCAAAGTGTTGAGGTGTCTAGTAGACCACTGCGTACCGTTTACGTAATTTTTATAAAACAATTAATTCGTTACGGATTCGCAACAAGGGCCTTCTAAAAGAGTCCAAAGTGATAAAAAGGGCTTTAAGGAAACTGTAATGTAGTGGTTTTATGAAATCTACAGCGATATAAGTGACTGTAGACTACATAACCATTATAGTGATTATGTCGTTGAAGATAATCACACAGCGATTCAGGACACGTCTGTGAAGAGTCTATAGAAAATAATTTTATAGGGTCAGATAGTGAAGAATTTGAAATTTTTTAAGAATTTGAAAAAAAAACAAAAAAGTTACTATGGAAAAAATAATTGTAAAAATTAGCTATAGTTTGAAGCAGTTATTTTTGCTGTTAAAAAAAGATATATTTACATGTTTATGTTATTTTTTAAGGTATATTCTTCGAAATAAAGATCGTTTTATTTTGTTTGGTTTAATATTTTATATAGTTTAATCACAAAGTGCACTTTTTGTACATGTTTTGATTAAAACCTATTTGTTTAAATTTTTCTTTTATTCAGATAATATTATTGGTGATATTCTAACTATATATATTTCCTAGTATCCCCAAAGCCTCAGATAAAACAAATATTATAAATTATAATTTTAAAAGGCAGGTGTCTCTCAGACCCCTTAGTACCGTTTATGACCTGAAAGTCGTACAGTACCGGTTACGGGTTAAAATGATGTCAAAATCCAACACCAAGTGGTGTTAATATAAACACCATGAATTATGGTTGAAAATGTTATACATCAAACACCAAAACGGTGTTTATCTAAAAATATTTGAGAAGTGCACCTACACAGAAAAAAAGGAATAGTTCATTTAACTATATTAATTTAGTTGACCCATAAGTATTTATTTAAATCAACTGTGGGAAGGTTAATATAAACAAAGATTAGTTTGACGGTAGTAAATCAAATAGTTATTTTATTTTTATTTAAATTGGTTAAATTAACCCAGAAAACTTTAATTAAACCAACCCGCTGAATGGTTTAGTTTACTAAATATGTTGTTTGTAAAATAAGAGTTACTTCAACCTAAAGCACTCTGTTAAAACGATTAAAACAATTTGCCGTGCATTCCTGGTTGCATAGCAAGTACAATTGGCGTCTCCGAAATGTGAACGATGTTTTGTTGTCATGGATTTTTTTCATAAAATTTATTCGTTCATTCCTGGCTTCGGCCAGTGGTGTTACATAAAGAAGGGAGAATACTAAGAATAAGAACAATATCCTAAATCGTTTTTTTTTAATAATATTTTAACAAACAATAATATAAACAATATAACAAATAAATTAACAAGTAGGTAAATACACAATAAAAATAACATAACTAAATTAACATATTGCTCAAGAAAATTGGTTTTTAAGTGAAATAGCTGCATATTTAAATGTCAGTAAAAGCTGCATATTTTATATCAAAAAACGTTGACAAGAACAACAAAGATTGAGAAGACCTATCAGGCAAGGTGTAGGTAAAATCTCCAACGAAAATAAAGACAATGCTCTTGTCGCACTTATTAGGCTAAATCCTTTCAATAGCGCATTTCAGGCCCGAGAAGATACACAATTTCAAGGATCTCTTCTAACAGTTCAAAAAAGATTGAAACAAGCTGGCTTAAAAAACTGTGCTGCTAAGCTATTTTAATACTTAATTGCAGAACCCTTAGCTACCACATCCCTTTGCAACCTTCTTGGCATG